GAAGAGATAAGGAGGTAGGATATGCTTGAGTTGATAGCATGATCATTCAGGGTTATTAAAATAATTATACCGTACTAATTAAGACATGAGAAGTATAATGCATCTAAATAAAATGGTATCAAAAATACAAATTTCAGTGGCCAAATGTAACATGCTTTACAAACACTCTCCTTTGGTTCTTTTAACTGTCTTCTATGATAACCATTCTGTAATCGCTTCAGTTAAAAAAAAAAAAAACAATTTAATTAATTAATTATTTGAGACAGAGTCTCACTTTGTTGTCCAGGCTAGAGTGAGTGCTGTGGCATCAGCCTAGCTCACAGCAACCTCAAACTCCTGGGCTCAAGCGATCCTCCTGCCTCAGCCTCCCGAGTAGCTGGGACTACAGGCATGTGCCACCATGCCCGGGTAATTTTTTTTGTATATATATTTTTAGTTGGTCGATTAATTTCTTTCTATTTTTAGTAGTGACGGGGTCTCACTCAGGCTGGTTTTGAACTCCTGACCTCGAGCAATCCACCTGCCTTAGCCTCCCAGAGTGCTAGGATTACAGGTGTGAGCCACCATGCCTGGCCAAGACCAATTTTTAATAGTGTGTGATATGCAACAGCAGTTGCCTTTCAAAGGAGATGGTGACCATTATTCCCCCTCCATTCATTTCTGCCACATGTGCAGTCCCTAGTAACCCTTCATTTTACTCCTGTGAAAATCTCATTCTCTCAACGTTCTGGCTTACTCTTTGTTTCCTGGTCCTCTTGCACAGTAAGCTGACCTTTCCTATAATTTTAACAGAGGTTCTCAGTCATAGCAACAAATCAGGGAAGGGGTCCTGACTGCATGATTTAGATAACAGTTTTAACTCTATTCTTTCATTACCATGCTCTCACATTTATACTATATTGTATATTTAGGCCCTTCCATTTTATCCATCTCTTCCGTGAGATAATCATGACATACGAAAAGTAGGTAATGAAGATATACCATGAACAGATTTCAAATGTCAAGTTGTAATTCATCAATAACAAAGCCTTCTTAAGAAATCTCAAATATCCGAGTCACGGCACCAAAAAAAAAAAAAAAAAAAAAAAAAAAAGAAATGCAAAAGCGGAAATATTTTAATATCACCTCCAAATGGATTTTAATATAACTGTAATAACTCAGAGATTTTCATAATTAGGGAGCCTATATTAAATATTTTCAATGAAGTAGTAGAGACTGCAACATGATTTCCTTGGTAATGCAGAATATATTCAATTGAGGGTGAACATTTTAAATGTTTAAGGTTACATTTGTTTCAAAAAGGCAAAAAATAATTCCATCTTGGTTACATTATAGCTTTGAATTTGTTTCGCTTTTTTATTCCTTGCATTTTTCACATATAATTTTGAGTCTTAAAAGTCAAAATTATATTAAAAATATGACAATCTCTATTGAATCTGCGTTTTCAAACCTTTTTATTTTCTTCAATAAGTTACTATCTATATTATTTTATTTTGTAACAAAGAGAATATCACATATAATATTCTATCTACACCTTGCTTTTTATGTATGGCAGAGATCACCTCAACATAATGACTCTCTTCATTCTTTTAACAGCTTCACATACATAGCCAATGTTCCCTTAATTTTCTCAGCTACGGGACAAGTTTTGCCAGTGTGTAGGTAAAATTATAAAACTCTTAGAAGAAAACAGATGTAAACTGGGCTAGACATTGGGCTAGACAATAGTTTTTTAGATACAACACCAAAACACAAGTAGCCCCCCCCCCCAAAAAAAGTAGGTACTTTGACTTCACCAAAATTAAGAGTACTATTCAGAATGTGGAAAAACAATACATAGGAGTGGAGAAAGTGTTTGTAAATTATATATCTCATAAGGGTCTAGTATTCTATAAAAGAACTCTTACAACTCAACAAAAAACACACAAACAACCCAATTTAAAAGAAAAAGAGTGGTGAAGGATCTAAATAGATATTTCTCCAAAGATGGCCAATAAGCATATGGACAGATACTCAATATTAGTCATGGAAACATGCAAATCTAACCACAGTGAAATATCACCTATAAATGACTAGAAAGCTGTTACTACTACTACTACTACTACTAGTAATCCAACTACTACAAACATTAAGAGTTGATTAGGAAGTACAGAAGCTGGAACACTTGTATATTGCTGGTGGGAACGTAAAAGGGGCAGCTGCTTTGGAGAAGTTTGGCAGTTCCACAAAAGGATAATCAGTTACCATATGATCCAGCAATTCCACTTTTACAAATATACCTGAGTGAAAACATATATATGCAAAAACATCAAAAACAGATTGTTCATAGCAGCATTTTTCATAATAGCCTAATTTCACAAAGTGCAAAGAGCCTAAATCTCCATCAAATGATGAATGGATAAACAAATATTATTATGGATTAACAAATATTATGTGGAATATTACTCAACAATGGAAAGTTATTACGTATTAATAAATGTTCCAGTAATATATTCCACTATATTGCATACTTAAAACATGCAAATTTTATTGTATGTCTCCTTTGGCACTAGCTGGTAATTTGAACCACATCTGGGTAACCTTACTCTAGTCCCACCAGGTAACCATTGTAACACCCCAAGCCAGTCATCTTTCACTGCCCTCTCACCATTTTTGAACCAGAGTGGAAAGTCTACTCTGTTCTTCTCAACAAGCTTCATGTAACAAATATTTTCATGACACTTCAGTCAATGGTGTCACTAGTCTTGAAGTTTAAACCAAATTTTGTGTGGGGTTCCATCCTTTCCAGTGGAGTGGCCACAAGTGCAAATTAACAAAAAATGTTTTAAGGGTAAATATATGAAGTTTCTAAATAAAAAAAAAAATCCCATTGTGAATATTTATTAAGAGGAAACTCATGAAGCTTGGTCTTTTCAAATTATTACACTGAGTGATCCAAGTATAAAAAAGAGATGGTGTTATTTTAATCCTTATTTCTGAAATTTTCTTTTAATTTACTGTTTTCACATGCTTATATTTATATTTCCACTGATATAGAAGAGCAAGCCATTCTCGCAAAAAAAGGCATGTAGAAATACAATCATACAGTGCATATTTATGAATGAGAAGACAGGTTTTAGGGGTCTGAAATATATATCATACACTGCTATGGTATGCTATATTTACCATAGCAATAGAAATAATTTGGGGCAGAGTGTGAAGAAAATGACTCAAATGTAAATTATGAATATATATTCCCGAAATTGCATATTATTTGAATCTAACATGGAAAGAGACTGCTATTGGTGACTTTCAACCTTGAGAGCCAAATGATGTATTATTAGTGTTCAATATAAAGTGCCTTAAGGAGGTAGGATATGCTTGAGTTGATAGCATGATTCATTCAGGGTTATTAAAAATAATTATACCGTACTAATTAAGACATGAGAAGTATAATGCATCTAAATAAAATGGTATCAAAATACAATTTCAGTGGCCAAATGTACATGCTTTACAAACACTCTCCTTTGGTTCTTTTAACTGTCTTCTATGATAACCATTCTGTAATCGCTTCAGTTAAAAAAAAAAAAAAGACCAATTTAATTAATTAATTATTTGAGACAGAGTCTCACTTTGTTGTCCAGGCTAGAGTGAGTGCTGTGGCATCAGCCTAGCTCACAGCAACCTCAAACTCCTGGGCTCAAGATCCTCCCTGCCTCAGCTCCCGAGTAGCTGGGACTACAGGCATGTGCCACCATGCCCGGGTAATTTTTTTTGTATAATATATTTTAGTTGGTCGATTAATTTCTTTCTATTTTTAGTAGTGACGGGGTCCAACTGCAGGCTGGTTTTGAACTCCTGACCTCGAGCAATCCGCTGCCTTAGCCTCCCAGAGTGCTAGGATTACAGGTGTGAGCCACCATGCCTGGCCAAGACCAATTTTTAATAGTGTGTGATATGCAACAGCAGTTGCCTTTCAAAGGAGATGGTGACATTATTCCCCCTCCATTCATTTCTGCCACATGTGCAGTCCCTAGTAACCCTTCATTTACTCCGTGAAATCTCTTCTCTAACGTTCTGGCTTATTCTTTGTTTCCTGGTCCTCTTGCACAGTAAGCTGACCTTTCCATAATTTTAACAGAGGTCTCAGTCATAGCAACAAATCAGGGAAGGGGTCCTGACTGCATGTTTAGATAACAGTTTTAACTCTATTCTTTCATACATGCTCTCACATTTATACTATATTGTATATTTAGGCCCTTTCCATTTTATCCATCTCTTCCGTGAGATAATCATGACATACGAAAAGTAGGTAATGAAGATATACCATGAACAGATTTCAAATGTCAAGTTGTAAGGCTGACGCCACGGCACTCACTCTAGCCTGGGCAACAAAAAGTGAGACTCTGTCTCAAAAAAAAAAAAAAAAAAAAAAAAAGAAATCTCAAATAAATAAAGACAGATCTTTCTGCAGATGTCCTTGTTCTTTTGACATACATCATCTCATCAGTTTTAAATGATTTTCACTTTTTAATCTTATGTGGAATTTAATATCTGAGATCAGTTAATCCTCAAGAAGGAATAGAGACTTAGTCCCCCCAATATAAATTTTCGTATGTGTAATCCATTGAGAGAACTGGCTAAACAATTCACCACATTGATTACATTTGTAATGTTTCTCTCCAGTATGAATTCTTTGGTGTATACTGAGTCTGACCATTGCTTAAAGGCCTTGACATATTTTTATGGTTTCCATCTTGAATGTATTCTGTCATAACAACAAAGATGTAAATATTTTATAAAGCTCATCATATTCACTACATTTACAAGGCATCTCTACAATAAGAACTCTGTGGATGTTCCACAAGGCTTAAATTTTGGATAAGCCTTGCCATACACCATTTTATTTGTGTGGTTTATCTCAAAGATGTATACACTAATATCAAAAGATGTGTGAGCACTGGCTAAAGGCCTTTCCATATATACTAGTTTTATATGGCTTGTCTTCATAGTGGAGACTCTGATGTTGATAAGGCTTGAACATTTAAGTTTTGTCTTATTCATTGTATTTGTTATGTTTTTTTCTGAGTTTTCTGATGATGCCCAAGGTTTGAACTTTGGATAAAAGCATTATGACGTATTTTATATTTACAGTGTTTCTTTTCAGTATGTATTTTTTGATGTCTAGTAAGGTTTGCAAATTGGGTAAAAGCCTTGCCACATTCATTACATTTGTAAGGTTTCTCTCCTGTATGGATTTTCTTATGTTGGGTAAGATTTGAACGTTCAGTAAAGGCTTTACCACACTCACTACATTTGTAGGGTTTCTCTCCAGTATGAGTCCTTTGATGACCCCACAGGTGTGAACATCTGATAAAAGCCTTATCACATTTATTACATTTGTAGGGTTTTTCTCCTGTATGAATTCTCTGATGTTCCAGGAGGCTTGAACTGTGGATGAAAGCCTTGCCACACACATTACATTTGTGTGGTTTCTCTCCAGGATGAATATTCTGATGTCTAGTGAGGTGTGAGCACTGCTTAAAAGCTTTGCCACACTCATTACATATGTAAGGTTTCTCTCCAGTATGGATTCTCTTATGTTGAGTAAGGCTTGAACGCTCAGCAAAGGCTTTGTCACATTCACTACATTTGTAAGGTTTCTCTCCAGTATGAATTCTCTCATGACCCCAAAGATGTGAACGCTGAATAAATGCTTTACCACATTCATTACATTTGTAAGGCTTTTCTCCAGTGTGCATTCTCTGATGACTTGCAAGGTTTGAATTTTGACTACAGACTTTGCCGCATACATTGCATTTATATGGTTTCTCTCCTGTATGGACTCTCTGATGTCTTGTGAGGTTTGAACACTGGTTAAAGGCTTTGCCACACTGATTACATTTGTAAGGTCTCTGTCCAGAATGAATTCTCTGATGATTAGTGAGGTTGGAACTTTTGCTAAAAGCCTTTCCACAGTCAGCACATTTGTATGATTTTTCTCTGCTGTGTGTTCTCTTGTATTGTGTAGGTAACAAAGGGGTCTTTAAAATCTTCCTATATTTATTACAAATGTTTTTGACACTAGGAGGAATTGTTTGAGGTGGTGAAATTAAGGAACTATTGTTGATAGACATCTCAACTTGATTACATTCATAAGTTTTCTCCTCAGTCTGAAATCTCTGCAGTTCAGCAAGATGTGCCTTTAGGCTTAATCCAATCCTATTTTCAAAACACTTTACATACTTGTTTCCAGTATAGCTTATGTTATTTTTCAGCTTTAACAAATTCCTTATGAATGGCTTGCCATGTACAAAATATTGGTAGGTATTCTCTCTTACAGAAACATTCTGCTTTAAAGAAAAATTAATTGAGGATTTATTATGCTGTTGGTCTTTTCTATGAGTGAGATTTCTATTTTGGGTAAAAGGCACTCCTTTGTAATTTCTTGTATCATATCTCCACTGGCTGTCAAACTTATGCATATTTTTCCAGACTTCCTTGATACCATGGCTTTCATTTCTTTCCAATATCACCAGATGGTATAATTCCTCTTTATTAATGTCTTCTTTTGATAATTCCTCAGAAACATCTGAAAGATAAAGAACCATAGGCTTTCCAATGTGTAGAGTTGGAGACAAATATTTTACATTAAAATACATGTTATAAAAATAATATTTATAATGAACAGGGTCATGAAGCTTCTCAACCATGGTCTTCTTTCATCCAAGTACTAACCAGGCCCGACCCTGCTTAGCTTCCCAGATCAGACATGTTCAGGGTGGTATGGCTGTAGACTCAAGCATGGTCTTCTGTTTAGGAACACAAAGGGAATGGCTGTCCTCAATAAGAAAGTAATATAGCAATAAAACATGTAATTCAAATTATTTTAAGGGCAGTACAGTTTGAAACATCCTATATCCGAAACCCTTATACTACGCAAACTCACGTATGCCCTGAAAGAAAGGATATTTTAACACCATCACCTAAAAAACATGATAATTGGCACTGCTATATTGCTATCTCATATTTGAAGAGAAACAAGTAATAATGCATTATTTAGTGATGACTACTATACACATATAAAAGCTAAAGCACACCTCAAACTTATGTAATAAAAATATAAAAATGGCAATTCATAATTGCAAAAAATAATACAGAAAAAATCAGGAAGAATTTATTAATAATTAAATGCCATTATAAGAATTCATAACATTGTAAATCTGAATATTTGTTATAAAACTACCTATACCCATATAGAATGTGCATTTTGCAGCATTAACATTTTGTGCATGGTCATTATATTGCATAATATATTCTGAAAAATCACCACCTATAAATCATAATAAAAATAAATAAAAATTTTAGTAATCTGTGAAAATCTAGCAGGCAACCTAATAGCAACCACAATTACACAACATTATTGTCTGTGGAATTCCAAAGAGTTCTTGCTTAAGAACAAAGGAAGAACTCTCATTGCTGAAGGAGCACATAACAGGAAAAATAAGAAATATGTTGAGAATCACTAAATTTTGAAATATCAGGTTTAGGTAAATACACATGATTATAAAGATTAAAAATTAGAAAAGGTAGTCTGAAATCACAGTTTATATAACAAACAGTACATAGAGCAACTTCCTAACTATGAAGCTGTCACCTAATCCTCTAGTTCTATGGCCAAAAAATATATAATATATAATAAAAGCTGTATGCGTTGAAATTTTATTATCTAAGGTCAAAGAAAATGTTGATAAGAAAAAAATTAAGAAAAGAAAACATATAAGATATAATGCAGGGAAAAGCCAGTCTCATAAGAAACATGACAGAAAGTTGATATATCTTATTATAGACATAACTTTTCAGTCCATACTACATGCTATGCAATGTACTAAGCCCCCAATAGCATTAATTTATTTATTTAAAAATTATTACAATTTTTCAAATAAAAACAAGGGACCCAAGAGGTTTAGGTATTTATCCTTAACTCACACAGGGAAGAATTGCAAGAGCCAGAATTTGAACCTGAATGTGGAGGCTAAGATGCCATATTCATAAAGCATTAAGCACTGTTGCCTACCCAGGCAGTACAGTTTACAACAGATCACAGCAACTACCAGGAGCTTAGGAAGAAATGTTTCAAGGGAGATACAGGACCTGAGCTGTGTCACTTATAGTGTGACAGTGCCACTACTCCCATGTATCAGCATTTGAGTTTTGTCTTGAACATGTTTCTGACCTGAGCAAGCTGTCCTATATATGAGTAAGGGTCTTTCCTTACCCAGTATGTGCACTGCGGGGAGCAGTAGGTCTTGTGAAAACTGGGTTGCCAAGGTGCTCAAAATTAATATACTAGGGGCTACCAGTATAGTCCATCTAGATCAAAGAAAAACTGGAGGAAGGGCCCAGATGGGGATTTAGAAAAGCAAGAGTGAAAGGTAAGGAATAAGCAGCATTATGGGAGCAGAGCTTCTGTTTGCAAATCTGTGAGAATATAATTGTACTAAGACAGTTAAAATCCTGATCTTGGAAAAAGAGAGGAACTGATATAGAAAGTGACTTAACACTGACCCATTCTGTGGAAACTATTACAGGAACAGGTCAAAAGTAGATAACATTCAGAACATATCATCAAAAATGTAATGTATGATAAATGCAGGTTTACATATATTCCAGTGTTTGCTCTAAAATCTATCAAAGTAAATCTCACAAATTCTATTTCTGGACACATACTCAAGTGAGATACATATATTCCAGAAGACATGTACAAGAATGTTCTTAGCTGGACCCAAAAGTAAAAACCTAGAAATGGCCATCAAGAGAGATGGGATGGAGTTCACTCAGTATAAACACACATGGATGCAATTAAGTCCTATCAAGGGTCTAGCAATGAGGGGTGGACATGGGGATGGGATGACAGTCCCTTGGCTGGGGGGACAGGGAGGTTGGATGGTAGAAATGAAGTTAGCAGCTAGCTTTTGCCAGGGTCTGAGCTCTTTGGGGATGCGATTGCATTTGGTAAAAAGTTAAGAACTAGGCCGGGCGAGGTGGCTCATGCCTGTAATCTTAGCACTCTGGGAGGCTGAGGTGGGCGGATTGCTCGAGGTCAGGAGTTCGAAACCAGCCTGAGCAAGAGCAAGACCCCCCGTCTCTACTATAAATAGAAAGAAATTAATTGGCCAATATATATATATAAATAAAATTAGCGGGCATGGTGGCGCATGCCTGTAGTTCCAGCTACTCAGGAGGCTAAGGCAGTAGGATTGCTTGAGCCCAGGAGTTTGAGGTTGCTGTGAGCTAGGCTGACGCCACGGCACTCACTCTAGCCTGGGCAACAGCGAGACTCTGTCTCAAAAAAAAAAAAAAAAATGAGATACCAAATGAGATACCAAAAACTCTATGAGAATGGCTAAAATCCAGAACATGGAACCCAAATGCTGGTAAGGATGTAAAGCAATAGAAATGGTTATTCGCTGCTCCTGGGAATGCAAAATATTAATAGTACAGCCGCCTTGAAAGAGAGTTTGCAGTTTCTTACAAAACTAAACATATATCAAAAGACCCAGCCATTGCACTTCTTGTTATTTACCCAAAGGAGCTGAAAACGTATGTCCACACAAAACCCTGAACGTGGATGTTTATAGCAGCTTTGTTCATAACTGCAAAAATTTGGAGCAACCAAGAGGTCCTTCAACTTTATGAATAAACAAACTCTAGTATATCCATACAAATTATGGTATGTCAATACAACTTAATCAAGGTTATCCTTCTATAAACAATGGAATGAAACAGAGAATATTATTCCATACTAAAAAGAAATGAACTATCAGCTATGAAAAGACATGAAAGAAACTTAGATGTTTATTACTGAATGAAAGAAGCCAACTTGAAAAGGCCACACACTGTATGATTCCAACTATAAGACACTCTGGAAAAGGTAAAACTATGGAGACAGTAAAGAAATCAGTGGTTGTCAGGTGTTAGGGAGAGGGAAAGATGAAGAGGCAGAACACAGAATTTTTAGGGCAGTGCAATTATTCTTTATGACAGTATTATGGAGGATATATGGCCATTATACAATTGCCCAAATCCCCAGATATATATGAGAGAACCCTAATGTAAACTATGGACTTTGGGTGATAATGAGGTGTCAATGTAGCTTTATCAATTGTAACAAATGTTAACACTGCAGTGGGGAATGTTGATAATGGGGGAGGCTACATATGTGTGGAGACAGAGGGCATATGGGAAATCTCTGTATCTTACACTCAATTTTGCTGTGAACCTAAAACTGATTGAAAAATTAAGTCTGTTAAAAAAGGTATATGTTTATGGTCAGTATTACGTTACAGGAAGTAAGTAAAAGGAATAATCACCACTATCTTTTAATAAAATTCTGGAAATTATATATGTTCTGGAGCAAACTGATGTTCAGATGTAAACACTCGAGAAAGAAATCTGGTAAAACATATAAAATAATATTCATTCCTTCATCCCATAGCCCCACACATTGTAAATATAAAACAAAAAAACACCAAGAGTATCATAAAAAATATGTAACTTATGATAGGTGAAAGTATGAGTGCCTCAAATTACAGATTTTTTATATGTAGACGTCATTCAATTTTATAAGTTCCCTCAATAAGAGCATCAAAATCTTATTTGTGGAAGCAGAATGTACAATTGCACACACGTGGGATGAATGACGGTGGCACAAACAATAGCTCAGTCAACACTCTAACAGATAGGAAGTTGTGAACTTGGACAATACTCTCCCTAGGATAAGTTCCTACACCTTTTATTGCTGGCTCCAAGAGGATGATCATTATATATCCGAATAACATTTGTCATACTGCCCTTGGAGACACTGTAAACTCCAAAAATGACAGATGGACGGAATGCACTTATCACTCAGGCTCTCCTGATGCTTCATCAGTATCCTGGGACATGCAGATCCGTCTGCTCAATGGCTTCAAGAGGCACTTCTGAATGTAAGCAGGATACTGTAAGACTGCTGTCCCCAACCCTGGGGCTGCGGACCAGTATCGGTATGTGGCCTGTTAGGGATAAGGCCGCAGAGCTCTGCCACACCCCACCCTCCTGTCCATGGAAAAATCGTCTTCCATGAAACTTAGAAATGGGAGTGGTGCACAGCAGGAGGTGAGTGGCTGGCAGGCAAGCGAGCGAAGCTTCATCTATATTTACGGCCGCTTCCCATCGCTCCCATCACTGCCTAAGCTCCACCTTCCCAACCCCCCAACCCCCATGTGTGAAAAAACTGTCTTCCATGAAACCAGCCTGTGGCACCAAAAAGGTTGGAGACCACTGCAGTTAGAGGTTAACCACTCCTTTTCAAGAATTTTACATTACCAGACAGTTGCCATAGCACACACCTATAATCCCAGCTATCAGAGAGGCTGACGTGGGAGTTTGAGACCAGCTTGGGCAACACAGTGAGACCTTGTCTAAAAGAAAAAAAAATAGAGGAAAGAGAATTTTCTGTTACCAAATAAACCCTTTCATGGGTGAGTCTACTAACAGTTGTCTACCACCTAAAGGAGGGTTACCCCAGCAGAAAAAGAAGATAAAATTTCAGACCCTACGAATGTGTTTCAAAAGCAAGTTTCAGAGAAAAATCTTAGAATATAAAATTAGGAAGATAAGCAACAAAGGTCTGTCACTGTTTCTGGACAGGGTAGAAAGCTGGAAGAGGTAGAAAAATACAAGATATGGGAGTAAAATAAGAGGGTCAGATTTTGTAGGGTTCTTGAGAAGGGTGGTATGCTCTGCCCATGGCCTGCAGGGTGAAAGTCTAAAAGATTGAGATATATTCCCATTTTGGAATGAGAATAAAAAAAAAAAAAAAAAAATCTCCCTGTCAAGTCTTTGTTACTGCTGAATAACAATCTCAAAAAACCTGCTCCACTTCCCTTTATTCACACATGGCAAAAGTAGAACTGAAGAGATGGTCAAGGGGCCTCAACAGGTTGAGGGCCTCATGAAATTTCAGGGAACCCCAGACACATTCTGCGGGGCCACTGTTTTCACCACTTTCCTTAGAAGGTCTTACAAGTATGTGAATTGCAAATAGAAACTGAATAGGCTCTGGAGCCAGGACTACAGGGCCTCAGCTCTGATCTGTATGCACTGAGAACTGAGCATCAGATAAAATCAAATAATAATCAAATGGACTGAGAACTGAGCATCATACAAAATCAAATAAACAAAGAGACAGTCCTTCAAAACAGCCATCTTGGTCCCTTTCAAAGCCAGGGGACCAAAACTCTTAGAGGGGCCAGATAATAGGGTATTACAGATCACTAAAAAGAATTTGTCTTTGTGTCTGGATGAGTTGGAGCATCACAGGAGAGTGGGAATTTAACAAAATAAGATGAGACAGGAGGGGGGGGGAGGTAGGGAGGGGGAGAGAAGGAGAGAGGAGGAGGGAGGGAAGGAGAGAGGAGGGAGGGAGAGGAGAGAGGAGGAGGGAGGGAAGGAGAGAGGAGGAGGGAGGGAGGGAAGGGGAGGGAGGGAGGGAGGGAGGGAGTCAGTCAGTCTGTGTTTAGGGAGCTTCCTTTGAGAGCTCATAAGAAGTAAACTTTTGTTTTCCCACAGATCTTTCCCATTTGAGGAGTTTTCCAAACAGCATTTATAAAAGCAGCTTTCTCTGTACCCATCTGAGCTATTATTTGTGTTCACATTCCCACCCACTTGGATTTTTCCCCACTCACATCACTCCCCGCAGATCAGGAATCTTTCCCTTGTTCCAAAACAAAGATAATATTCAGCTCAGGAGAGATTTCAACTTATAAAGAAAAAGGCACATAATATGCTGTGCTTTTCCAGAATGATTCCCAGCCCTTTACTCAGCTAAGAAGGTAGAACATTACAGATGAGTCTAGAAAACTAGTTCACAAATGAGTCAACTGACTCCATCCTTCTGAATGCTTAGAGATTATTTTAAATATGCAGATATCCAGCTCTCTTCCAAGAACTACTGAATCAAAAGCAAAGGGGCAAAACCATGAAACCAGATATTTTTAAAAGTCTGTTACAAGGTTTTGTGACTACTCACGTTCTGGAACCACCATTAATCAAATCTGAAATGTGCAGAACTTCAGCAGAAAGGGGAAGTTTAGAGTCCATATGCCACATTATGCATCCTTTCCATTCTGAATCAAAACAGTTTCAGTCTTTCCCTTTAGAACAGGGACTGGACATTCAGACAAGCAAGTCAGGGGCTTCCAAGAGACTCACATGAGAATATGCAAAGACATACAAGCGCAGTTACTAATTTCTAGAGGGAAGTTATCCTCACCTAGGGATAGCAGGTTCCTGTAGTTCTCTAACATCACATCCCTGTACAAGGCCTTCTGAGCAGAGTCCAAGCATTCCCACTCCTCTTGGGAGAATTCTATGGCCACATCCTTGAATGTAAACAGTCCCTGAAATGAAAACATATTTCATCAAGTAGACATAGGAAGATCTATTTTCACATAAAATAACAGAAGAGAGGTGTAAGGATTGACTTGGCTGTAGTGAGTGTTCTCACTGATCCATGTGAGATAATCTAAGCAAGTTATATATCAGTGATCTTATTTTTTAAAAAACTGAAGTGAAATGTATGTAACATAAAATTAGCTATTTTAAAGTATAGAATTCAGTGCCACTTAGTACATTCACAATGTTGTATAAACATCACCTGTCTGGTTGATATTTTTATCAACTCCAAAGGAGACTCTGTACCCATTAAGTACTCACTCACCATTCTCTCTTCCTCACAGTTCCTAGCCAACTAATAATCTGCTTTCTGTCTCTATGGACATTTCAATTTTTTTTTCTATTTTTTTGGTTTGTTTTTTTATTTTTTCCTCCCCACAGCACTATGCATAATCTATGGACATTTCATATAAATGGAATCACATAAAATATGTGATCTTGTATGTTTGGCTTCTTTCAATTAGAATAATGTTTTTGAGGTTCATCCGTGACATAGCAAGTATCAGTAGTATATTCGTTTTTACGGCTGGATGATATTCCATTGCATGACTATATTACATTTTATTTATTCATTTATCCATTGATGGACATTTGGGTGTTTTCCATCTTCTGGCTATTGCAGGGGTCCTCAAACTTTTTAAACAGGGGGCCAGTTCACTGTCCCTCAGACTGTTGGAGGGCCAGACTACAGTTTTTTAAAAAAACTATGAACAAATTCCTATGCACACTGCACATATTTTTAAGTAAAAAACCAAAACGGGAACAAATTGTCCTTGGTGGGCAGTTTGAGGACCCCTGGGCTATTGTATACACTGTGCTATGAACATTTTTTTTTTGCTTTTTTTTTTTTTTTTTACTATTTACTGAAAGATTCTTTTTATTTAAGATTTCAAATATAGAAACTATAAAATAAGTATCTGTTTGAATAACTGTTTTCAATTCTTTTGGGTATATATCCAGCAGAGGAATTGCTGGGTTATATAGTTAAACTTTTTGAGGATCTGTCAATTTTTTTTCCATGGTGGCTATACCATTTTATCAGCAATGTATCAGGATTCCAATTTCTCCATATCTTTACCAACATTTCTTATTTTCTCTTTTATTATAGCAAATCCTGGTGGGTGTGAAGTGATACCTCATTGTGGTTTTCATTTTCCATTTCACTAATGACTAATTTTGCTAAGCAACTTTCCATGTGCTTGCTGGTCATCTGTATTTCCTCTATGGAGAGATATCTATTAAAGTCCTTAGATCATTTTTTAATTAGGTTATCTGTATTTGGCTGCTGAGTTGTAGATGTCTTCATATATTCTGGATACTAGACCTTATCAGACATGTGATATGTACAAAATTTCTCCAATTTGGTAAATTATATTTTCACTTTTGTGACTGTATCCTTCAATGCACTGAAGTTTTTAATTATGATGAAGATACATCTACTTTTTCTTTTCTGCTTTTGGTGTCATATCTAAACATCCATTGCCAAATCCAAAGCCATGAAGATTTACTCCTATGTTTTTGTCTAAGAATTTTATAATTTTAGCTCTTATTTAGGTCTTTGATTCATTTTGAATTTATTTATATGGTGGGAGGTAAAGGGCCAATCTTATTCTTTTATATGTGGATATTCAGTTGTCCCAGTCCATTTCTTGGTGACTATGCTTTTCCCATTGAATGTTTTTGGCACCCTGGCAGAAAATGAACTGACCATAGAAATATGGCTTAACTGTTGGACTCTCAGTTCTATCCCATTGATCTGTGCTTCTATCCTTATACCAGAAGCACAATTTTGATTATGCTAAATTTGTAGTAAGTTTAGATGTCAGGAATTATAACTCCTCCAACTTCGTTCCTCTTTCTCAAGATTGTTTTGGTCATCTGGGGTCCTTACCCCAATCTGAATTTTCAATTCAAATTTTAGGACTGGCTTTGCCATTTCTGTAAAAAAAAAAAGAAGCTGTTGGGATTTTGAAAGAAACTACACTGAATCTTTGTATCACTTTGAGGAATACTGCCATCTTAACAATACTAAGTCTCCCAATCCACAAACATAAGATCTTTTAACATTTATTTAGGCTTTTAAAAATTTCTTTCAGCAATACTTCCTAGTTTCAGTGTCATCCACTTCCTAGGTTAAACTTACTCCTATGTTATTCTTTTCAATGCTATTGCAAATGTAATTGTTTACTTAATTTACTTCTCAAATTTATTGCTAGTATATAGAAATACAACTAATTTTTGTGTGTTAATACTGTATTCTGTAACTTTACTGAATTTATCTCCTATTTTTTTGAGGATTCTTTAGGCATTTATAAATATAAGATCATGTAGTCTATAAATAGAGAGTTTTACTGCTTTTCTAATATTCATGTCTTTTATGCCTGTTTTTGGTATAAGTGCTGTGGCTAAAACTTCCAGTACAATGCCAAAATACTGTGACAAAGAGGGCATCCTCATCTTGTTCCTGATACTCAGGGAAAGTTCACAGTTCTTCATCAATGACTATGCTGTTAGCTGTGAGTTTTTAATATATGCCCCTTTTCAGATTAGGGAAATTTCTATTGACAGTTTTGGGCATTTTTTGTTCAGATCATGAAAGGTGTTGGAGTTTGTCAAGTGCTTTTCCTGCTTCAATTGACATGATCATATGTTTTCATTCTTTCATTCTATATGTGGTATATTTCACTAATTGCTTTATGTTAAAGCACCTTTGCATTCCTGTAATAAATCCGCTTGGTAATGTTATATCATCCTTACAGTATGATGTAGATTTTGGTTTCTAGGAACTTTTTGAAGATTTTTGCACCTATATTCATAAGGCATGTTATAGTTTTATTGTGATGTCTTTGTTTGGCTTTACAATGGGGATATTACTGTCCTCACAGAATATTTGCTACTTTTCTATGTTTCAGGGAGTATTTGCTACTCTTCTATGTTTAAGAACAGTGTGAGAAGAATTGGCTAATTCTTCTTTAATTGTTTTCTAGAATTTACCACTAAAGCCAAGTGGTCCTAGACTTATTTTTAGGGGGTGTTCTTGATTACTTATTCAATTTCTTTACATGTTATAAGCTATAAGCCTGTTCCAACCCTCTACTGATTCTTGAGGCAGTTTTCTTACTATGAGTTTATAGGAAATTATCCATTTCATCTAGATTGTCCAATTTATTGGTCTAGAATTATTCATAGTGATCTCTTATAATAATTTTTATTTCTGTGAGATTGGTAGTAACACCCTAATTTTCATTTTTGATTATTTGAGTCTTCTCTCTTTTGGTATTAGCCTACTGAAAGGATTTAGTTGGTCTTTCTAAGAACAAACTTTTGGTTCCACTGATTTTTCTATTTTTCATACTTTTCATTTATTACCACTCTAATCTTTCTTATTTCCTTCATTTTATGAGTTTTTGGTTTAGTTGGTTCTACTTTTTCTGGTTCCACAAGTGTAAAGTTAGGTAATTGAGTTGAAACTTTTTTCTTTTTTTAAAAAATATATGTGTTTACACTTAAAATTCCCTCTTCTCACTGCTTTTGCTGCATGCCATAAGTTTTGGATGGCTGTGTGTTCACTGGATTTGTATTTAAAAAATTTGTAATTGTTTCTTGAGATTTCTTTGTTGCCCTATTGGTTGTTTCAGGAGGTATGGTATAGAGGAGTGATATCACCAAGATGACACAGTATCAGGTCCCACTTGTCATGCTACAGAAATACTGCTTTAATGACCATGCACGGGCAAAATACTTTACAAGCGCTCCAGAATCTAGGTGAGAGGTTGCAGCACTCTGGTGGAGCACAGCAATGAGAAAAGACACACCGAAAATAGTAAGAACAGTTTCACTTTTCACATGTCACCCACCTCCCAAGCCAGCACAGAACAACACCAAGAGATACCCTAGGCTAATTAAATTTTCCAATGGAAGGAGAGAACAAAGTCACCATCTGACTTTCAAAGCTCTTTTGGGTGACATCTGAGGGGCCTATTTCTGTCACACCTCACTCAGAACACTGAGGGAAATGGCATGGATAGATTGCTTGGGGTAGCTAATAAAGGGGTGGAGGCCCTCAACAATCAACATGCAGATCTCAATAGGCAACCCATGGCCTCTGGCTGCAGGCCTCCCTGCCCACCAAAGGCCTCCATTACCAGGCCCACCTGTCTGTGAAACCTGACAGCAGTCCTATCATCCCGTGGACCCCACAAGTAGGTCTTACTGCAAATCCCACCAGCCAGTTTGCCCACAGGCCCCATTAACGGATCTGTTCAGAATGTCTGACTATTGAAGTGCTTTCCCTACTGAAGATAGTCTATAAAAACTGAGAAAGGTGACTGCTTCTTCGAATGTGCATATACCAACACAAGGCTATAAGCATCCCCCCAAATCAGAGAAACAACACTATACACCAAATGTACCTAATGGACATATACAGAACATTCCCTCTAACAACAACAACAGAATACACATTCTTCTCAAATGTAATACTCTCCAGGATCATAGGCTAGGCCACAAAGTAATTATTAACAAATTTAAAAGTAAGGAAAGCACTCCAAACATCTTTTCCAACCACAGTGGAATGAAAGAAACTAGAAATCAATAACAAAAGGAAAATGGGAACACTTGCAAATACAAGCAAATTAAACAAAATGCTCTTGAACCACCACTGGGTCAAAGAAGAAATAAAAAATGAAATTATAAAATATCTCCAGATAAACAAAAATAAAGCCACAACATAACAAAACTTATGAGATACAGCAAAAGCAGTGTTTCAAGTCAAGGTCATAGCAATAAATGCCTACGATATAAAAAGGAGAAAAGTTTCAAATAAACCACCTAACTGTATAACTTAAGGAACTAGAAAAAGAACAAGCTAAACTCAAAGTTGGCAGAAGGAAGGACATAATAAAGATTAGAGCAGAAATGAAAAAAAAAGAGAGAATAGGAAAAAATGATGAAACTACCATGGCAAGTCATTTCTGTCTACTTTCATGATTCTCTTGTCTTTCCACGGTTTGATTGTGCGTCTTCCTGTGGATCTCTGAGTTCATCACAACTGAAGTTCATTGAGTTTTTGGGTACATTGATTCATGTTTCTCATACATTTTATAGGTTTCAGTTTTTATTTCTTCAAATATTCTTCCTGCCCTTTACTCTTTTTTCCTTCCAAAATTCTATCATGCATACATTGATATACTTCATGGTGTTTTAAAGCTGCCTTTAGTCACGTT